AATTATATAACAGAGACAATGCACAAAGATTACATTAACCTCAAAGAGGAAAGATGCATTGTGCCAGGTTGTAGCAGGATTGCTAATTTCCACCTGCAGTCCCTGGACAGGTTAAAATTAAAACAATAAAATCCAGTTAATTAAAAAGTCAGTTTAAAACATTCAAGCATAATCGCATATAAACTAAAACACTGACAACTCAAAAACATCTCACTCAGTGTGTACAAATTTGATTTGACAAAAACCACCTTCTAGTCAGGCGTGAAAACCTCGTATAATTTGTACATGTGATTATTTCTGATGGGAGAGAATTCAATTTTGCTTTTTGAATGTAAATGAAGATAACAACGAGACAAACATTTTGATTTCATTTTAAATAAATAGCTTACTAACCTTTTCCGTGTAAATTTATACACAAATAGACATTATAAACAGAGAATGAGAGGACACGACATCCACAACAAAGCATATGCAAACTAAATCTTTTAAAATGACTCCTTTTTTAGGAGTTTTATGTGAAAAAAACACCTAAAATTCACCTTTAAGTGTTTCGTATTTGGGCATTTTATTACATTTCAATTACAATTCATATCTTCATTCATATATATTGATGTAATCATGCACAACATGCCATGTACAATCTACAAACATTTTTTTTAACCATTAAACTATTACTTGGTTGTTCCCAGTATTTTATCATCTATAAAAAGAAATTCCCCAAATCCCCTCTGTAAAAAAACCTTTAATATGTAAATCTTGACTCTTCCTCCAGTGTTCATATTGCTTTTTTAAGCATTCTTATTTTGGAAAACATTACATTTTTTGTTTGTTTTTATTTATATAGCACTTTTAAAAACATCAAATACTGATTAAAGTGCTTTACAAACAGCAAATAGAGTATATAATAATGATAACACAGTAACACCTTAGTTTAGGTCACAATGCTATTAACTACTGGCTTACTACCAGCCTATTATTAAGATATTGACTGTTCATTTGTAGTTATAAAGTATGATCTTATTCTGCATCCTTAATCGTACCAAAACCTAAACCTAAGTTCTACCTTACTATTAATAAACAGCTAATTAGTCATTTATTAAGCTAGTAGTGTTAGTTAATGGTTTGTGAATACTATGAATTGTGAACTAAACTAAAGTATTAACGGTAACACTTTACAGTAAGGTTGTATTAGTTAGTAATATGAGTTAATGCATTTACTGACATGAACAAACAATGAACAATACATTTATTACAGTATTTGTTCATGTTAGTTAACGTTAATTAAAATAAATTAATTCATTGTTAGTTCATGTTAACTCACGGTGCATTACATTAAGTTAACAAGCAAGAATTTGATGTTATTAGTGCATTAGTAAATGTTAAACTATGATTAATAACCATTAACGAACATAATACTACTACTACTAATAATAATAATAATACAAAAAAGGTTTGCATGTCAAATGTAATCAATATCATGGAGTGTTAGTCGATACCCCTATTTCACCCTATTCACCTGCAGTATCTTGTCATAAATATACATTTTAAAAGCATCACTGAGTTGCAATGGCATCCCATGGTCTGTCGGGATGTACGGGTGTTGTTTTGCATGGTGGTACGAGCAGCTGTTTCTTAACACATCTGTGCATCCCACATGTTTAGGAACAATACTACAATCTCCCTTATGTAACACATCGGCTTGACAGGTGTTTCAGTTTCCTTTTCTGTGTCTGTGTGTGTGTTTTTATGGCCGCCCTTGCTTTTTTCTCCTTTCCTCCCCCCTGCATTTGACCTGATTATGCACTCTAGCCTACAAACATACCCTGAAAACACACTGGCACAGGACAAGACACACACAGACACACTTTGGAAATGAGAAAGGGCCTGGGAGTGATGACAATCATGTCATGCTCCAGTGTTTTTATGATGAGAGCAGAGAAAATACACTTGAGTAATATTCTGAGTACAAGTAAGGCTCATTTACAGAATTTGCAGCATATGTTGATCAACATGTGAAATAAAAATTATCTCTCCTTTTAACTAAATGAAGAATGGTGCCAGTTTGTAAATGTTAAGCGAGAAGACAGAAGTGAGATGATAAAAATGTACAAAAGTTGTGAAAATGTACACTTTTTTATCTATTTGTGAGTAAATAAATCACTTACACTCAAAACTTTTTATTTTGCTGCTTGTTCAAACTACTTCAATAAAATGAGCTGAAACAATGCAAGATTGTTGAGATTGTTTTGGGACAACTCAATTGTTTTATGTCCAATCCACCTAAATTTCTTGCATTAACTTAATCGGTTTGTGTTGGGAAAACATGAATGTATTTTGTGGAACTCTGCATTTTTTTTACAGCGTACTAACCTTTTCTATGTAAAGTTATATGCATCCAAAAGAACAAATACAGCTGAAATCTATTTTATTTCCTGTACCTCTTAAAATCGATTGAGAGCATATGGGGGTTTGAAGTTGCTTACCACAAAACTGATTTCTC